CGATCCGTTCCTGGATCCCTCCGGTATCCTACGCGTGGGTGGTCGACTTCAACTGTCTGACCTTTCATATGATCGTAAATTTCCGATTCTACTTCCAAAGCATTACCTTTCTAAGCTCATTATCGATCAAATTCATAAGGATACACTTCACGGCGGTGTACAGTTAATGCTTCGCACGTTGCGAGAACAATATTGGATTCTGGGGGCGCGAAGCATGGTAAAAGGTTGTATCCGCAATTGCGTGACATGTACTCGGCATCGCGCCATAACCGGCGTACAATTTATGGCCGACCTTCCTACATTTAGAGTAATTCCGTCCCGTCCATTTTGCCATACGGGACTTGATTACGCCGGCCCCTTCGCAATTCGAGACGCTTCCGGCCGCGGACGTAAGTCGCACAAAACATACATCTCGCTATTTGTTTGTCTCGCTACACGAGCTATACACTTAGAGCTCGTTCATGATTATTCCACGGCTGCGTTTCTCGCATCTTTCGAACGGTTCGTAGCGCGTCGTGGCATTCCATCCGATCTTTATTCCGACAACGCGACTACCTATCAAGGCGCGGATCGCGAACTTGTTACAGCGATCCGACAGACTCAAGCCGACGTAGATCTGCAGGCGAAGTTCGCGTCAAAGCCAGTTCAATGGCATTTCATTCCGCCTTCTGCCCCTCATTTTGGGGGCATGTGGGAGGCAGGTGTTAAGAGTGTTAAGCACCATTTGCGACGTATACTTGGTTCCTGCACACCTACGGTCGAAGAGTTCACCACGCTTTTATGTAACATCGAAGCATGTTTGAATTCGCGCCCGATCGCCGCACTTCATGACGATGTAAATTCTTGCAATGCGCTCACACCAGGGCATTTTTTAATTGGTAGCGCCATTAAATCGATTCCGAGTCCGAGCGTCTTACATATCTCCGAGTCACGACTCGATCGATGGCAATTAATGCGTGCGAAATACGAGCAATTTTGGAAATTGTGGAGTCTTGACTACTTGAACACCTTGCAGCAGCGTTTTAAATGGCAGAATCGATCTGATGAATTTCGCATAAACGATATTGTTCTAATAAAAAATCCTAATTTACCTCCCTGCAGATGGGAACTTGCGAGAATCATCGAATGTAAGCCTGACAAGGATGGCCTGGTGCGAGTTGCTCAGGTCAAGACCGCGTCTTCTACTTTTGTAAGACCTATTGTTAAACTCTGTAAATTGCCGGTAAGTCCGGACGGTTCAGCGTAATCTAAATTCTGCAGGTTGTCTCCAATGATTGCAGTTCAATGTGTAAGGATTTACCCCTGACTGTCATTTGAATCCCTTGGCGATTCAACCCGAGGGGTATGTTTGGGAAAAAATTAAATTTCCGTGATCCCCGCGCGCCTTCGATATACGCTCCTGAGAGCTCTCTGTAATTGTGTACATCGACAGTTTGTTATTGCGTCCACAAGGGCGAAGCGCCGAATTAGGAGAGAGTTTCCGCGTCTTTAAAAAGGAGCGATGCGGCACGGAAGGCGAGTCTGGTACGACGAGCCGTCCGGTAAACCCGAGAAGAACATTTGTGATCCGAAGAATAAAAATTACGTATTCTTACTTAGAATAAAGAGACTAGTTCCTGCTATCTATCCTTGCCTATCGACGCAGTCCACAAGAGAGAACTAGGCGATAGCTCCGATAAAACCCAAAGGAGAAAATATACAAAACAGCTCCCGAGGCTTAAAGACAACATTATATTATAATGACACAGACAATTAGTAAAATGCTTTCCTAGTCCGATTGTGCAGTTTTGTTGGGAGGACGAAAGAGGAGAAATAGCTATGTCATACTTTTCATTTTTCTCCTATATCACCTTTTCCCAGAGCATTGTGTGACGGAGAAAGCATCTTACCGTGCATCTCATCTGTTCATCAATCTTCTCATCAGTGCACTATCGCGCACGCGCGCGCATATACACACACACAAATGCGCGAATATTCAATTTTTTATATGTATAAATAAGTCTATGATTGTAATATAATATTTTGATATTTATACAATATGAATTTATTTAATCTTATTCATTCAGACTTAAGAATAATGCTTGAGGAAAATATTTTAAAACTTATAGTTTAGGTTTATAGGTTATAGAAAAAATTGATTATAACATATGTGTTATATAGTCTTAAAAGGGATCGAACAGTTTAAATAAAAAAAATTACTTTATTACTATGTTCTTCTAACTTTAAATTAATATATAAAGTGCATATCTAGATAATCGCGCGAGATACATACATATATATAATTAAGTATCGCAATTTCTATAGAGGAAGACAAAGTGCGCAGCACATTATTTCATTCTGCAGATATATGCTATTAGAAATATTAGAGCAAAGATTATTTATTATTATATAGAAAAAAATGTTATAACAAAAATATGTAGTTTTAAAAGTTTTACAATACACTTTGACTGTAATAAATTGTAAAATATATCAATCTTTTTCTTAAAAACATGTGTTAAGGTTTAGTCCAACAAAAAAAATACAATAATTTTTAAAAATACATATAAACTGTTTTTTTTTTTTAAATAATAAACTATACTTTTTTTTACAGAAAAATAATGGTACAAATAAAAAAGTTACACTTGTAAAAGCATATAAATTCGGCGCAAGCAAATAATTTATTTTTGTTTTTTATAGTTACTTTCTATTGCTATAATTAATTATGGAATAAGCATGTGATCTTAGAATATGTAAATTACACCACAATATATTGACTTCAAAATATATTTTATAATTAATCTTATGTATGCAATTTTTAATCGATTTGATACATATTTCGAAATATTTATACTGCTTATACTTATCGTTAGCAATACAAATAGTTAGCAATATACAATAATTTTTTTTACAAAAAGGCCTATTATAGTATCAGATAAAGATATACTTTAATATACTTATAATAATCAGATATAAAACTTTGTTCGTTAACCATTTTTACACATTTTTAACAGGATCAATTAATTAGAAATAATATAACTGTTTTTATTGTTGCACCATTATTCTAAATTTTGGTCACTTATCGCAACTTTTGAAGTAAAATAAATTACAATTTTAATATACCCATTTTCTTTCTTATATGTATAAGCTGTATACACACAATATATACACATTTATGTGTATACCTAATACATACATATGCTGTATATACACACGTGATTAAATTATTTTTACTTTAACTCTTATAATTTAATAACAATTATTAACTTTTACAGGAAAGTTAAATATTTAAAAGCCTTTATCCAGTTAGCCAAATCTGTTTAAACAGATTTTGCCAAGTGCCTGCTACAAATTGTTATCAATAAAAGATTACAAATTTGGTACAGGAGCTATTATTATCGATTAAGTAAAAAGATTGGTTGCAAAAACCGAGCAAGATTTGCTACCATATGATCTAATGTCGGATTGGTAACAATCATGTAATGATGAGGTCTCTTATTCTCATCGTGCGCTTGTACTCGCGCGAATAGGCCGATCTTTTTGCGATTAAGTCTGTCCTTATCAGATGGAACTACGATTATGTCTGTCGCCTTATCAGTTTAATAAAGAATTTACTAATTTTTGGGGGTTTTTAACATAAAATCGGGCATTCTTACCTTTATTGCTGTCATTTTCATCGTGAAAAAACATTTAATATTCTATCGAATTAATAAAAAGATTAGTATGTATAAAAATTATTATATACTTTGTTGGTAAAACAGGAAGGTTCAGTAATCAATTTATATTATTTTATTTAAATAGCTTGAATTTGCAAATCGTGCTTGGTTTTGCTGCTAATCTACGCACAGATTCTACTCATTGTCAGTTCTGTTCACCATTTTACTGTCGCATTTTACGTCTTATATCAGCAGATTCTGTCAGTAAAACATACAAGATGCAGTCGATCTACTGCAAATTTATGATTGAATTTGCTATCTATTTGCTGACATATTGCACACTCAATAGAAAAAAAGTCTTATATATTATTGTTTGTATATAAATTAATTATAAAATTTATAGCAAATTTTAAAATGTTACATACATTCTGTATTTATTATAATTATATATTTTAAACTTAAATAAAAATATTTGTTTACCCAACATGCATAAAAACATACGCAGAAGAGATGCATATACGCACGTATGCACACATTCATACATATTTGCGCGCGTGTGCAAATAATTTCATATAATTATAATTTTTTGAACAATTAATTTGTTACTTTTAATTCTTATTTATATATCCTATGTTTATTTTATTTTTGATAATTTGTATAACATAACTGATATTCTATATATAAGTATAATAAAATAGTAAAATATATATATATATATATATATATATATATATAAAATTTTCAATTACTCATATTTAAAAAAATCAAATCGTAAGAAAGATAAGATTAAGATTTTTCTTTTTTTACTATAAATATAGTTTTTTATGAAAAAATTAAACGATTTGTATTAATAAAAAAAAACACACGCACGCAACACACAATACACAAATAAAAACGCATATATATTAAAATTAATGTTAAAAAGAGATTTTTTCCTTATTTAATTTGTAAGATTTAATTTAAATTTAAATTTATTGTTAATTACAAGGTAATTGACTTTGAGAATCAAAATATAATTATAAAATAAAATGATTTTCACACATTTTTAATTAAAATTTCAATAAAATTTTAATAAAAAATTGAGAAAAAACAGTTTCTCAAATAAGAAAATAGTTTATATAGTTATTTTATCATTTATTACGAACAATTTATTAATTGCTTTAACTATTGCCGATTATTAATAATCACATATAGTTACAATTTATTATAGATTACAATTTACAACAAATAACTTTGATATTCTTACAAATAAAGAATAAAGATGAGAGAAAGAGAGATGATATAAATTTTTTATTCTTTAATAATTGTAAGAAAGGGGAAAATATCTTTATATATATATATATATATATATTTATATGTATATATGTAATATGTGGATGTATTTATAATACAATAAAATGTTCGATGTAGAATCGAAACGATTTTCTTCATAGCCGCACTTGTCATCTTGTTCAAAATATTGGTATAATCTGAAATTTTATTTCCAATTAAAACATGTTTTATAATATGTTTTGCATGAAATTATTTATGTTAATCAATTTTTTTAAGCTGTCAGAATAATATTATGATTCTATAAACTATTGGTGAGATTGATTGATATTGTTGAGATTACACAATATATACATATATATACAAGATATAGATATACAAGATGTTCTGCAACCATTTAACAATATTTAATACTTTAATATATTCTAGAGATAATTACAAAATAATCTATAATTACAAAAATAAATCTAATATAAAAATATTAAAAACATTAATACGATAATATTTACTCTCATTATATTTTGGTGTCATCGGTAGTATCACTTTTGTAGCAAAACTGCAAAAAAGATAAGCACTCTAAAATATTTTAAAATAATATTTCTTTATACAAATTTTTAAATAGATATAAATTTGACGTTTTTTAATTTGTTTAAAATTATAACAACTGTCGCTAAACTTTTAATATATATGAAGCTTTTGTATAAAAGCTTTTATTGTGTATATGCTTAAAAGACATACCCTTATTTTTACTATATATTAGTAATTTAAGTACTTGAAATAAGTGATTAATTGGACTTACTAATGATAAATTAATTCTATAAGGATAGAATAATCAGAAGAGATTCTTTTTTCACAATAAATTACAATTATATATAATATAAGACTATAATATATAATTACAATTATATATAATATAATTATATATAATATAATTATATATAATATAAGACTTGATACAACATGGATTAGCTCTTTTCCATTGAATAGTTCAGTGATTAAAGCAATTCTGAGATTAAAATGTATGCATACATAGCTACAGATTTTGATGCAAACTTTGTCACATGAGTTTAATATCATTATAATTACTCATAAGTCAAAAACTACTCTGATTTCCACATCATTTTCCTAAATCTTCAGATTTTTTAAGCTAATCTGCAAAATAAAACGTCATTGAAAGAGTATTGTATAATGGTTGCAGAATACTATATATGCACAGATCTCAAGTTCCTATAATTATTAATATATTTAACCACAAAAAATGGGTCAAATTTTAGCTTAATTTTTTGACATCTTTGAATTGCTAATTTGTAATTAGTAAAAAATCATAGTATTCAGATGAACCAACGTTTAAATTAAAGCTTGAACATTTTTTTATTAATGCAAAAGACCAGAATTGAATGATAAAAAATGTTATACAAAATGGCAGATGTTAAAGATAGACATTGAAAATGGAGAAAAATGTCTTTTTAAAATTTTTGTATAGCTCATTGGAATCGGCTCCTAGATACAAAAAATATGAGCTTTTAAGTTCATTATATATAATACCTTAACAAATCCATATTTAACAAATTTTTTTACAATTTTTTTATAAAGTTATACTGTTTTAAAAAATGTTGCAAAATAGACTTTTTTAGTAACATTTGCAATTTAGAAACAAACTATCATGAAAAATTTGTTCAAAAAAAAAATTAAAATGTAAACTTTAAATTTTATAACCTTTTTATCGATAATAAACAAAAAAATTATATCATTATAAATGTTTATTACCGGCAATTTTTTGTGTTTATTATTGGCAAAAAGATTAAAAATTTGAAGTTTATTTTTTAATATATCTTCAAAGTTTATATTTTAATTTGTTTTTCATGATAATTTGTGTGTGTGTGTATGTGTGTTATCTAAATTGCAGATTTTACAAGAAAATATCTGTTTTGCAACATTTTCTTCAAAACAGAGTATACTTAATTTTGTCAAAACAAAAAATTGTAGAAAAATGTTTAAAATATGGATTTGTTAGCAAAGTAATGAGCTTAAAACTCATATTTTTTATACCTGAGAGCCGATTCTTCTGAACTAAGCAAAAATTTAAAGAGACATTTTCCCCATTTTTTATGTCTATCTTTAACGTTCGATATTTTGTAAAACATTTATTATAATTCAATTTTAGTTTTTCTTCTTATCAGTGTTTACTGTTATCTAAATAAAATTATATAGATAATCATTTAGATAAAATCTTGGCGTCATCTTATCTTTATATAGATAATAAATGTATCATTTATACATATATATATACCTGCATCTTAGATGAAAAAAAGTATTATTTTCACGAAATTATCTAGAATAATATTCAGATAATTTGGTTTAAAGTCATAGCACAAAAGAATACTTAATTAGTAGAACTTCAGCAGTAATGGATAATTTATAAATAAAACTATAAATATATTTTTACATTTTTTATAACTGTATTTACATAAACGGTCTCAAAAAATATTATCTGGAAGTTATCTAGATGCATCGCCATATAATTTTATCTTTTATTTAGATATATTTAAACGAATTTATCTTATCTAAAATGCATTTACATGTTTTTATTAAATCTTTATCTAGCTGATTTTAAATTCATCTAAGCACTGCGTGTTATTAAATGAAATGTTTGGGCTTTAATTTAAGCGTTGATTTATTTCAATATAATACTTTTTACTGAGTTATTAAATTCAAAGATGTCAAAAAATTGTGCTAAATTTGGTAGCCATTTATTTTGCGGGAGAGTGTCATACACACACACATACGCACACTCACACGTATACAAAACATAAAATTAATGCGTATTATAATATTAAATTTACCTATTGAATTATTGATGAAATGAAAATTGCTAATTGTATAAATAATAATGGAAGATTAATTGACACGTAGCCAGCAGAGTTATCTGAAATTAAATAGAACCATTTTTATTAGAATTCAAATATACATATATAATTACTTGAATATATAATAAATATACGTATATTTACATATTACATAATATTATATATATATATATATATATATATCTATATATATAAGCACCGTCTGTCTGTATGTATGTACGCGAACTACTTCCGCATTTGTGGACCGATATTCGTGAAACTGGTACCAAAATGTTGCAAATTTTTTGGGGGTGGCTGCTGTGGGTTTTTTTTTTAATTTTTTAATTTTTTTTTTTTTCTACAGAGGAGGGTATGTTTAATCTTTTTTTGCAATATTTCTGAACACATGGTATCAAAATGTTGCAAATTTTTTTGGAGATAACGACGATGCGGTTTTTTTAAGTGTTACACCCCCACCCACGCACCCACCCACGCATCCACCCACGCGCATGCGCATTTATGGACCAATTTTCACGAAATTAGTACCAAAATGTTGCAAATTTTTTTGAGAAAACTACTGGTTTATTTTTTTAAGTTGTCCCCTCCACCCACGCACCCACCCACGCAATCGTATATTTATGAACCGATTTTTTTTAAATTGGTACCTCTTCCGGCTCTTGCCCATCGAGCTTTCTGTTTTACTGCAAAAAATGATTATATTATATAATATTTATTTATAATATTATATTATTATATATAATATTGAGGAGGGAGAGGGAGAGAGAGAGAGAGAGAGAGAGAGAAAGAGAGAGAGGGATTAATTTAATCTATATATATAAGCACCGTCCGTCTGTCTGTCTGTCTGTCTGTGCCCGAACTACTTCCGCATTTGTGGACCGATTGTCTCGAAATTGGTACCAAAATGTTGCAAATTTTTCGGGGGTGGCTGCTGTGGGTTTTTTTTTTAATTTTTTAATTTTTATTTTTTTTCTTCAGAGGAGGGTATGTTTTTGCGAAAAAATTTTTTTTTTGCAATATTTCTGAACACATGGTATCAAAATGTTGCAAAATTTTTGGAGATAGCGACGATGCGGTTTTTTTAAGTGTAACACCTCCACCCACGCATCCACCCACGCATCCACCCACACGCATGCGCATTTATGGACCAATTTTCACGAAATTAGTACCAAAATGTTGCAAATTTTTCTGAGGAAACTGGTGTTTTATTTTTTTAAGTTTACGCCTCCACCCACGCAATCATCCACGCGCGTGCGCATTGATGGACCAATATTTTTACGAAATTGGTACAAAAATGTTGCAAATTTTTTGGAGATGGCGACGATGCGGTTTTTTTCAAGTGTTACACCTCCACCCACGCACCCACCCACGCGCATGCGCATTTATGACCAATTTTCACGAAATTAGTACCAAAATGTTGCAAATTTTATTTTTCTGACAAATTTTATTTTTTTAAATTTACGCCTCCACCCACGCACCCACCCACGCAATCGTATATTTATAAACCGATTTTTTAAAATTGGTACCAAAATGTTGCAAATTTTTTGAAGATGGCGACGATGTTTTTTTCAATTGTTACACCTCCATCCACGCCTTCATCCACGCGCGTGCGCATTTATGGACCATATATTTTTACGAAATTGGTACAACAAATTTTTTAAATTTTTTGAGAAAGCTGCTGTGTGGTTTTTAAAGTTTTTCCCACCCAGCATTCACCCACGCATTCACACATTTATTCACAGACTTTTTCGAAATTTGTACTCAAATTTTGTTGGGGATGGCTACTATAAATTTTAACAAATTTTTATCATAATAAACCACCCACGCACCCATGCACCCATGTGCATACCGCAATTTTTTGTGATTGGCAAAAAGATTAAAAATTTGAAGTTTATTTTTAATATATTTCAAAGTTTACATTTTAATTTGTTTTTCAAAATTTGTGTGTGTGTTATTGTGTTACTAAATTGCAGTGAAATATTGTTTTGCAACATTTTCTTCAAAAAGGTTACTAATTTTGTCAAAACAAAAAATTGTAGAAAAATGTTTAAAATATGGATTTGTTACAAAAATGAGCTTAAAAATATTTTTTATGGTGAGAGCCGATTCTTCTGAAAAGCAAAAATTTAAAGGACATTTTCCCCATTTATGTCTATCTTTAACGTTGATATTTTGTAAAACATTTATTATAATTCAATTTTAGTTTTTCTCTTATCAGTGTTTACTGTTATCTAAAAAAATTATATAGATAATCATTTAGATAAAATCTTGCGTCATCTTATCTTTATATAGATAATAAATGTAATTTATACATATATATATACCTGCATCTTAGATGAAAAAAGTATTATTTTCACGAAATTATTAGAATAATTTCAGATAATTTGGTTTAAAGTCATAGCACAAAAGAATACTTAATTAGTAGAACTTCAGCAGTAATGGATAATTTATAAATAAAACTATAAATATATTTTTACATTTTTTATAACTGTATTTACATAAACGGTCTCAAAAATATTATCTGGAAGTTATCTAGATGCATCGCCATATAAATCTTTTATTTAGATATATTTAAACGAATTTATCTTATCTAAAATGCATTTACATGTTTTTATTAAATCTTTATCTAGCTGATTTTAAATTCATCTAAGCACTGCGTGTTCTTAAATGAAATGTTTGGGCTTTAATTTAAGCGTTGATTTATTTCAATATAATACTTTTTACTGAGTTATTAAATTCAAAGATGTCAAAAAATTGTGCTAAATTTGGTAGCCATTTATTTTGCGGGAGAGTGTCATACACACACACATACGCACACTCACACGTATACAAAACATAAAATTAATGCGTATTATAATATTAAATTTACCTATTGAATTATTGATGAAATGAAAATTGCTAATTGTATAAATAATAATGGAAGATTAATTGACACGTAGCCAGCAGAGTTATCTGAAATTAAATAGAACCATTTTTATTAGAATTCAAATATACATATATAATTACTTGAATATATAATAAATATACGTATATTTACATATTACAATATATATATATATATATATATATATATATATATATATATTATAACCCAGATAGCCACAGTAATTATTATGACATTATTTTATCAAAATGCATCATTTGCCATCAAAATGATGCATCATTTACCATCAAAATGATGCATTTTGACATCAAAATGATGTCATAATAATTACTGTGGTTATCTGGGAATAAGATAATATATTTAAAAAAACTTTTCTCTTACCATCATTATTATCAGATTCTGATTTGTCTAAGGCTTGGATTTCCATTTTACGATGTAGCTTCGTTGTAGTAGTTGATGTAGTAGTAAACGTTCCTACATGACAAAAATATCATATTTATTCATTCAATGGAAGTAATGTTACCAATAAATAAATGATAAAATCATATTTTAGTAAATTACAAGTTATTTAACAACAAATAAATTAAAACTATATATATATTGTATATACATATGTATCTATAATTAAGTACCGTCCGTCTGTCTGTCTGTCTGTCTGACCGCGAACTACTTCCGCATTTGTGGACCAATTTTCATCAAATTGGTACCAAAATTTCGCAAATTTTCCGGGGAGGGTGATAATGATGATTGCTTGTAAGTTTTACGCCTCTACCCACGCACCCACCCACGCAAACGCATATTTATGGACCGATTTTTTTGAAATTGGTACCAAAATGTTGCAAATTTTTTGAAGATGGCGACGATGTGGTTTTTTTTAGTTTTATCCCACTCACACATCCACCCACGCATTCGCACATTTATTTACCGATTTTTTCGAAATTTGTACTAAAATTTTGTCGGGGATGGCCACTATATGATTTTTAAAAATTTTTACCACCCTATTCAATCACCCATGCACCCATCTACGCAGCCACCCACGCACCAACACATTTATAGACCGATTTTCTTGAAATTGATACCAAAATTTTGCATATTTTTCGGGGATCGCTACTATGTGTTTTTTTTAAGTTTTACACTACTACATACGCATCCACCCACGCATTCATACATTTATTGATTAATTTTCTCGAAATTGGATATCTATTTATATCTATATATACACAAGTTGCAAATTTTTTGGGCAGTGTGAGATGGTGATTTTTTTAATTAAAAAATTTTTTTTACTATAGAGGAGGCTATGTTTCCGCGAAAAAAATTTTTTGCAAATTTCTATACCAATGTGTTCAGAATGTTCCAATCGAGAAATCACATTTAAAAATAAAATTTTTGTATGTAAAACTTCCATCCACGCACTCACACATATTGATTTATTTTCGGTACCAAAATCTTGAAAATTTTTGGGGATGACGACGACAGACAGACAGACAGACGGACGGACAAATAGACAGACAAATAGATATTAAATATTATTAATAAGTATCATTAAATATTATATATCTTTGGTTTTGTAAAATAAAAAATTGTGTGAAAACTAATAAGAGCGGGGTCAGTGTTGGGTAAAAGCTTTGAGGCCCACGCGAAGCGCGGGCCAAAAAGCTAGTATATATATGTAAGTACCGTCTGTCTGTCTGTATGTCTGTATGACCGCAAACTACTTCCACATTTATGGACTGATTTTCATTAAATTGGTACCAAAATGTTGCAAATTTTTCGGGGGTGGTTGCTGTGTGGTTTTTTTAGTTTTTGCCCACTCACGCATACACTAACGCATATGCGCATTTATGGACCGATTTTCACGAAATTGGTACCAAAATTTCGCAAATTTTTCGGGGATGACTACTAGATGCTTTTTTTTATTTTACCATCCACCCACGCACTTACACATTTATTGGCATATTTTCACGAAATTGGTACCAAAATTTCACAAATTTTTCGAGGATGATTACTAGATGTTTTTTTTTTAATTTTACACTCCCACCCATGCACCCACCCACACATTCACGTTTTAATTGATTGATTCTCTGGAAATCGGTACCAATATAGTGCCAATACTTATTGTTAGTAATAGAAATCGGTACTAGGCCATTACTTCGCCAGTAACTATTTTCCACTTGGGTATATTATGTATTGATTCCGAGAGCCGATACAATATTTTTAAATAAATTAAATTTTCAACTAAAATACAAATTTAAATTTCCTAGGCTAGTATATTAGACCTAAATGGCAGTGTATATACATAACATTTCAAATTTTTTGGATTAGCAAAAGTCAGCACGGATAGTAAATGTAAGAGAGAGAGTTTCAAGAATTAAATAAATTTTAGTAAACAAAAGAAGGAAGTCATAAACAAAGTTGTGGAATAAATGATTGTTACAAGGTTATATAATCTGAGATAAATACGAGTAGACAGATCAATAAATAATCAAATTTTAAAATCTATTGCTTGGCAGGCGTAGACTGAAAAACTAAAATCAAAATAACTTTTGCAGTCAAGGTATACCTGTATCCAAGGTCTTAAAATAGTTGACCAAAATCAAGGATTAGATTGGGATTGTCTTAAAAAAAGTTCTTATAAACATTAGTCCAAAAACCTCTCCTTCAGGTGTTACAACTCATTGATGGCTTCTACATATTGAATTGCCAAGTCCGCGTTGACAGTGACGACTTAATTCAAAAGAATAAAAATATAAGAATCTCTATATGTATTGTTTTATCGATAAAAGATGTACAATAATGAACGAAAATAACATAATTAACTAGCGATTTGAGGCCCGCGCGAAGCGCGGACCTCAAAGCTAATATTCCTCAAAGATTTTACTTTTTTTATAATTTATTTTTAGATATCAAATAGTTAAAATAAAGTCGCCAGTGATGAATAAAAATATAATTTATTAATTATTCGACCTGACTGGCCAATATAAATTGTTAATACGCAAAGTTTCGACCCTTGGGTACGGATCCTTATCAAGTGTTACTTTCAAGATGTCAATTAGAAAGATGTAGGATTACTAATGTATTAGTATTTAACAATTTGTATTGGCCAGTCAGGTCGAATGATTAATAGAAGTTATATTTTTATTTTTATTAGTTTTATTTATAGAGTTTATTATTAGTTTATCTATACTATTTATATAAAAACACAGTTTGTCAGTTGGATAGATTTGTATTATCGATGTTTAAGATTCATTTCAAATATAGACGTATTAAAATGAAATTTGAATAAATGATTGATTCTTTATCATCTTGGGAGTGTTAGACTGTGTTAAAATTTGTTCAGCTTTTAATGTCAATGTGTTCGAAATGTATTAAAAGGTCGAAATTTTAAGGATTTTATATATATTTTTCTGAGAAAAAAATTTTTATATATATTCTTCTGAGAAAATTCTTTTGATATTTTTTTGACATTAAACTGATTTAACTTTTGATTTTTTTGACAAAAACTTTTTTTGATGCATATTCACCCCTCAAAAATTTTTTTCTCAAAAGAATATTCTTACACAGCCGAATTTCGACATTTTTAATACATTTCGAATACATTGACATTAAAAGCTGAAAAACATTTTTTTGATGCATATTCACCCCCAAAAAAATTTTTTCAGAAGAACATATTACGCAGCCTATAACACCCCCAAGATTATAAAGAATCAATCCTTAAAATTTCATTTTAATCGGTCTACGTGTTTTAAAGATTATTGCGAGGACAAACAAACTGACAAACTCTGTATTTTTAAATAGTATACATATAATTATTTCGACTCGAGCTTCACGCGGGCTTCAAGACCTATATCTAACGTTTTTTTAAATATAATATTTTAAGTTAAGAGTTTAACAAGGCTCTGTAATATAAATATAAATTTAAAGTGTAAGACAGGCAATAAGAGCCAATCGCGGAAGACAGTGCGTTATCCCAACGAAACTAAATTTTTTCGTTAGAATTAAATATCTGTGCACAAGGCACCAAATTTTACTTGATCACAGCCAAGATTTTCAAATATGAAATAATCTCATATTTGAGATTTAATTTCAATAATCCTTTAACCCTCCTACGGAAATAAATAAATAAATGCAAGAGAATATATTAATAATATTTTTAATATATTTTTATATTTTATATTTTTAATATATTTTTAAAATATTTTTTCGTGAGCTTAAAAGCTAGCTATACACACACACACACACACATATATATATATATATATATATATATATATATATACATATATACAAATACCGTCTGTCTGTCTGACCGCGAACTACTCCTTAATTAATGGACCGATTTTCTCGAAAATGGTACCAAAATACGGTTGCAAATTTTTCGAGGTGAAAGCTTTTAGCTTGATATCTCAAAATTTAGGAAAACTAGAAAATGTGTATTTTTTAGAAATTAAAATTTTATAAAAATCAAAATTTTTCATCGATCATCACAAAACTCAATACCAAACATTATTTATTAATAACTTATTTACGTAAAAAAAATTACTCAAATATCTTAAAATTTATTAAAATTAGAACAATTAAAAACGTTTCTTAAAAATTCAAAATTAAAAAAAATGAATTCTTTCATTGATTCTCATCAAATTCAATACCAACCAACTTTCAATGCTAATCTATTTATACAAAACAATTGATCCCGATATCTTAAAATTTACCAAAGTTAGAGCAACAGACATTTCTCGAAAAATTAAAAATTTTAATATAAATAAAATACTATATAAATTTTTATAAAAAAGTGTTGTACTACTTTACTTGTATGCTAATTTTAAGCGCTGTAAATCAAATACTTCTTGAGACATTTACATTTTAAATGTACACATACATGCATTCATACACACAAAATTAAAAAAAAATAAAAATAAAAGTTTGAAAAAAGTTACTTTCTGATGTTTTGGAGCATTTTGAACACACTGGCATAGAAATCCGAAAAAAAAAATTTTTACGAAAACAGTGCTTTCTCTAAAATAAAAAAATTTTAACATTTTAAAAATACATAGTGGCCTATCCTGAAAAATTTGCATTATTTTGATACCAATTTCGAGAAAATTGGTCCATAAATGCGCACGCACGTAAGTGGGTGCGTCGGTGGGGGTGTAAAACTTAAAACAATTGCCATCGTTGTCATCCCCGAAAAATTTGCAAAATTCTGGTACCAATTTCGAGGGAATCGGTCCATTAATGAGAGAGTGCGTGGGTGGGTGGATAGGTTTGTACAAATTAAAAAAAATCATATAGTGCCATTTTCGACAAATTTAGAAAACTTTGGTATTGATTTCGAAAAAATCGATCAATTAATGTGTGAATACGTGGGTGGGTGGGGATGTAAAACTTAAAAAAACTACATCGTCGCCATCTCCGAAAAATTTGCAACATTTTGGTATCAATTAAAAAAAATCGGTTCATAAATATGCGATTGCGTG